TATTTTGATGAATATTTTTAAATATTTTAAAAAATTAGTAAAATTATTTTTATTTTATTATTATTTTAAAAAAGTAAAATAATTATTATTATAATTAGTTTATATATATATAATAAATATTATAAAAAAATATTAATAAATTATATATATTTATAAAATTATATTTTTATTAATCAGAAAATTTATTTCCTTTGATTAATAAAAAAAGATCTTTAAATAAATTAATTAAATTAAAAACTTTAGTTTAATAAAATAAATTTATTACTATTATTTTAATTAAATATAATTAATAAAAATTTTTATAATAAAATTTGATTAACTAAAATAAATTTTATATAATTGAAAGTGATTTTTAAAATTTTTATTATAATAAGATATTTAATATAATAGAATTTATTATAATGAGATTATCTTTATATATTATAATTAATTTGAATTAAATTTATTTTTTTATATAAATAATTTTTATTAATAAAATATTAGTTAATTTGATAAAAAATTTTCAGATTTAATTAATTAAAAAATTATCTAACAAGATTAATAAATTAATTATAAATATTTATATATTATAAAATTCAAAAAATAAACATATTTTTTTATAATAAAATTATAAAAATATTAATTAAAATAATTATAATACAGATCAAAGATACTTTAAGTTTTATAATATTTATTTAAAATTTTAAATAATTATTATTATTAATAATATATAAAATTCTTAAGAATATTAATTTATAATTAATTTCAAAATTATATTCTAGAATTTTATTATTTATTAAGTTAATTTTCAAATAAATTTAACTTGTTAAATAGCTAGATTAATACAATATAATTAAAATAAAATATTAAAATAAAGATATGAATAAAAAACAAAATATTTTAATTTGATTATAAAATACTTGCTTTCTGCTTAAAAGACTTTTATTAATGTAAGTAATAACTTTTTCTTAATCATTTTATTTTTCTGAGATAACTTCAAGTTCAGTTTTTAAAGTATTAGTAATTAAATTAATATTAAATTATTTATTTATTATAATGTCTGCAATATTTAATATTAACTCTCTACTTTATTATTTCACTCTTGAGTAAGTTTATAATAGAAATATTACAATAAGATCAATAAGATAAAGTTTTACATTGTTTAAATCGTGAAATATTAGCTATTATCATTGGCTTTATAACTAATGTTTTTTTCTATTAATAATATTTTCATTACTATCTTTTGATAATTGATTTTGTGATTTTTTCAAAATGAATTTGGCAATAAAATCCTGAAATTCCAAGATATTTTTATTTGGCTTCTTTTTATCCATATTTTCCACCTCAAATAACAGCTTTTTCTCTTGCAACAACGCAATTACAATTTTCGAGAATGAATATTATCTGTAATCATTCGATTAAACTGTATTCGAATAATTGAACGAATAATTAGCACATAATCTGTATTCGATACTTCACTGCTATTTTTTAATCATTCACGTTAATATTATCATTGATTATTGGTTATCATAATTAAAAAATAAATATGGAAAGTTAATCACTAATTAACAAAAATACACATTTAAATATCTTAAAATATCTACAACTAATTTATTATCATTCATGAATAGAAGATTGATTGATCTCAAGGTGGCTTCATTGTCATGAGATGTTTTTAAAACTATCACGCAAGACACCAAGAGAGTAAAGCTATTATATACATATCTTTCTATCAACAACAGAATGACCAGAGATAAAGGATAGTGTTTATACTAATAAGACACTATTATCCCACCCGAAATCTCATAAATTAGTTTTCTTATTTGCCATTTCTTGAAGAATTCGTTTTCTTGAACGCTGCATGTTCTCGATGTGCTACATGGAAGATAAAAAATCATCTGGTTAGACATATTTGCATTACGGTAAAAAAGCGGATCTTTAATAGTTGATTAATTACCTTTATAATAAGGAAGTTGCAACTCTATTGGCTTTAGAATCATGGACAATTGACCTAAAACATTGGATTCTTCATGAACATTGGCATTTTTATTCCAAATTGTAAAAATATCGGAATTGTATCGTGACGAGACGGTCAATCCGAAAATATCATCATCTTGAGTATCCATAATAATAAGAGGAATAAGAGGACAATAGTAATAGTAATAATAAATAATGGTAATAGTATTCATACTTACCAACGCTGACAAATTCTTCGAATTGTTCTCCAATCAAAAGCATCAATAATTCCCGCCATACTTCTGCCGTTTGTTTCTTATTGACACGAAAAGACCATGCACCTCCATTCACGTTACGTGGATCTTCCCTGTGTGTCCATTCGAAGCGTAATGATGATGTAGTGACTGCACGTTAATTAGTTGTTTTCAATTTGATGAATTGGGAGGCACTTAGGTAGCAAGAAACGCGAGAAATAAATT